AAGTAGTATTAATTTGTACTAAAAGTGGACCTGAAGCAAGACGGTATTGAATGCTTCATTTGTATCAATTCAATTTAATTTGCGTACCGCATGCACGATTTACTAAATACAACTTAGTTTGTACAGTTTCACGGATTAGTGTGATCGCATTTAATCCCTACAACTGATCAAGATCACCGATCTTCGTTCAGACTGAATAGAACTGATTTCAGGGAGAAAAAAAAAACAAATCCTTTATCTTCGAACTCAGTATTTTTCTAGCACGCGCAAAATTTAGAAGAAAATTGAAAGTATGTATCAAACATTTAACTCTCTTCATAATTCATGTTATTGTTTACTTTTTGAAAATTGAGTTATTTTTCCGAGGGGGAAAACTTTTCTTTAGCAAGCCACACTTGAGGTTTTCCTATTCTGTGAAATTCTTATCGGCCTTGGTTTAAGTATGCCATGAACAGGGATAAATGTGAAGGGGTGGAGAAAACGTTGGACAAACATGAACAAAAAGATAAACACTTGTAATTCACTGGACTGAAAAATGTCAACGATGAAATCTTGACTAGAAATACTTACGTTTCTAACCATAGTCAAGAGGTTCATCGAACAACTAGACCTTTATTTAAAAGAGGAAAACATTCGATACACCCATGTTATCGACTTGTAAAACAATAAACATGAAGAAAAAACTCAAAAAGGAAGGTTAAAAGGAGAAAGAATGACTAGTTCAAACCCACCCCCATACCCACCCCCATAAGAACAAACATTCCTTTACCTCTTAGCTTTTATAAGGTTCGAATTGAACATTCGCAGATCGAAAAAAAATCAACTAAAAAAAAGGTCTTTTCAAAAAGTTGGAGGTGATGGGAAATACAAGAGAGGGCGTGAAAACTAATATCTGCGACAGAAGAAACAAGAAACAGCAAAATTAATCAAAAGGGGGTTTAATGAATACTATAACAAAATCAACACGACAATGTACTTGTTTTGTTCAAATTTTTAACAATTGTCAAGCTTTGATGCGAACAGAAAACCCTTCCTGACATAAGAAAAAGAAAAGATTCTTAGATAAAAGAAATGTGTCAAAAAGGAACAAAACAGTTTGCATTCCTTCGAAAGTTAGAACACTAATAACTTCGCTGTTGACTTCTAATAATGACCCGGCATGGCTTGTAAAAGCAGTGCAAGACGTGAGTGCTYAGTATAACCCATGGAGTATTTCATCTCTGARCTGATTTAAAACTAATCAATTGCCAAACTCATGTTTCTATTTCATTTTTCATCGAGACTGCGGTGGGTGTGAAAAAATAAAAAACAGCGATGACAAACCATTCTAATTCTTCACTCTCGCGGACATCTAACCTGTGTAGATTGTTTGGAGCTAGAATTGGGCTTTGCCCCGTTCACGAATGCTGTAAGTCATATCTTATTGCTCTTTTAGAATATCACTTTTATGTAAGTCTTGTTTGTTTCTTAACACAGGGCAAAATCTACAAGCAAGTTTGATAAGACTCAACATTATGAAAGATTGAGGTTCCGATTGGTAGCTTATTTCTTGCAATGTTTTCGTTTTCAGAAAAACTGTTCAACAAGCAATCTACCTACYTGATAAGTCCTGATGAAAACTGAAACTACTAATGATCTCGTATCACTCGACTGCAAACCTTGTTTTCTGAATAACAACTTTTTTAACCTCATTCCGTTTCTTGCCATGGAGTGTTTCTTCAACAACCAGCTTCCCTTCGTTGGTATGCTGCTAGAAACATGGCCCTCAGAAAACAACAAGTGTCTATCGTAAAAACCAATTGACAAGGGGCTTCTCCTTCAATCAAGTCAATGCTTAACAGAGCCTAACGTTTGTCGTCCCGTCCGAAAAGATTGGAAACGATTTGAAGCACCGTGAGGCTAAAACCGCCAGTGGCAAGCAACCAATGCGCAGTATATCAATTTAAATGTGATTTGCGTGCGATGCAGACATTGGACTTACTACTCGGCACCTACATCAAAGAATTGAAGAACACAGAACGCAGGCCTCCGCAATCGGACGACACATGGCAAGAGTACATGGACTGGTTAAACCCGCTCGCTATCGAGAAATCGTTCACGATACTTAAGCGCTGTAAGAACAAATTTAATTGTCTAATCTACGGGATGCTTTATAGGAACAAAGGACCAAGCGGGTTGAACGTACAATCAGACTCGATACGCGCCAAGGTGTTTGTGTAGTTGTGTCCAACACCTATTTGACATTGTTTTTCTTCCTTTTGTTGTTGTACGACATATATGTACAGTATTCACATAGTTGGGACGTCACGACAAATTTCCACAACGCCGAAAGCGACCACCGACCGCTCGTAATCTATATCTACWTATTTGAACAATGGCTTTTATTAAAATATGTCATTCAAAAATATATTTTTTCTTAATAAATATGTTTTTAGATTAAAAAATGATCAACCAATACCGGGATTGCAATCTCACATGGCGTGGCCCAATATGAATAATACTGGAAATGATCTGAGTTTCTCGAGCAAACTCTACTTGGATACCAGCCAGTACCGTTCATAATGCTCTGCATCAAACTTCAAATAATACTACATAAAGAGTGATTCTATGGCGTTAACGGCTACTTCTTCAGCTTTTGCAGCTGTGCGCACTGTCTTGAGAACCCAACTCGCTCTTCGAACTGAAATTTCTTGTGCTTTTCTTGCCAACTTAGCGATTTGTAAAGACGAACGGGCTGCCTGTGCAGCAGCTACCAAGGCACTTGTCTGCGCAGAAGTAGCTTTTAACAAAGCTAAAATACAGAATAAATATGATTAGAACAAATTACGCAATATATTTTATGTACCTTTACTATGTTTCTACCTGTGCTTCCATATCATTCTCTGTTCACCTGTTCAACATAGTATGTTACATAGCCTGCCTGACCTGACGACCTGAGCGTCGAGTTTCTGGGTTGCCTACCTAAGCGCTGAAATGACTTGCAATTATTTTGAGGATCCTCGCCCCAAACATGACTCATACCCTCCTTTCCTAGTTACACCGCAACATGTGTAACGGCAGCAGCATCGACTTACCTTCTCTTGTTAATTTGACTTTGTGTTTATCGAGTTTTCTCAGGCTCGCTATCTGGTCTTTCTTGCCTTGTTCATATTCAGCATAGTAGTGATCTGTAAAATGATTCACATATATAAAAAACTAGTTAACAGCATCAAACAGACCTCACATATATAAAAAACTAGTTAACAGCATCAAACAGACCTCGTCTTAATATCTTTAAATATCACATTCTCTCTTTGCGGATCCAGGGAAGCGCAAGCGACAGAAACTGTGTAATCCTCGTGTTTTCTAAAATGCGATCTTTGGATTTCAATACCTTCTTTTATGCCTTGGAAAGTTGTTTTCATCCTTATAATTCCTGTATTTGCTCTCCCCTTCCCCCGACCATTACTATTCATAGGTGGAGGGAGGGTAAAAAACAGGCCAATAGTCTCCTTCACGGTTCCCTGCGCCGTCTTGAAAAGTAGCCATGCCTTTACATCGAAGCGATTGAGCGTGCAATGATTCACAGGCGTGCAATTATTCACAGGTATCTATCATTGCMCGCTCAATCGCTTCGATGTTAAGGCACGGCTCCCTTTCAAGATGGCTCACGTAACCGTGAAGGAGACTATTTTAAACTGTATCTCGTGATTCTCATTGAAAAAGATCGTATGTCAGAAACCACACTCAACGAAACGTTTAGGAACTTCCTAAACTACTTTCCTGAACTACAGCCAAATAAGTTGCAATCAAAGCCAGGATTAAAATACTTCATTTCCAAGATTCTCTTGCTAGTGCGCAAAGACCTGACCAAAGAGTAAAGAAAGCACGAGAAAATGTTGCAAGTACATAGCCCTAAGTCCTAGCAATTTACATTTTTTCCGCATTGAAGCTAACCCTATATTCCCAGAAGGATTAAACCTTGGGCCTTTTTGGAATACAGGGTTAGTCTCAACTCGGGGAAAACGCAATTTTTCAATGCTGTTGTAATTAATTTTCTCGTGCTTTCTCTTTTGTTGGTAAGGTCTTTKCGCAAGAGAATCTGCTGTCAAATGAAGCAGTTGTGTAAAAAAAACTCAGTTTCATCACTTTTACTCCGACGAAGGATTAACGTCCGAAACGTCAGTAAGTTATTTCACATACTTTTTTTACGGTGTTAAATTTATCTTTTTACACAACTGTTTCTTTAGAAAYACCGACGCAGCTCACACTAGTTTACCGCTAGTTCCCCATTTTGTCAAATGAAGCTGCGGTTTTTCGATTTGAATTGGAAAATGCAGTATTTACTGAGAAATAGAATACGTACCTTTGATATAATTCTCTTTTTCAAACCCATGCCCGTTCTTTGGCTTGTAAAATGGAGAGACTATCGGGCTACCACCTTCAAACGAATAAAAAATCCTGGATTATCAAACTAGAYAATGTACATGCTTTGAAAATCATAAACCAAAAACAGGGATTTCTTGATTATTAAGATATTAAAACAACTCTGCGCAAAGCTTTTTTTTTTGTGGTGACTTTCAAGTTTTACATGAAAATTAGTAACAGCAAAGATGATTGGATAAACGGTAGATGACGCACATTTGTGATCACTGTGAAACTAAAGCCAATCTGAATTAAAACGAATTAAAGTGATTTCGAAGTAATATTTAAAATTTTGTTTTTCATTTACAATGTGATCGGACATTCATGATTATCAATGSATTATTATCATATTTTAATCCATTTTTTAGTTTTTATTGTAAAATATTTGTGTAATATCAAATTATCATAATTATATTTTAACRATGTCTGACGTACTTGATTTCGTGAAAAGACAGATTAAGATGATCACAACAGAAAATACCGCCAAAATGTTCTTGACTGACACCATGTTAGGTCTGATGATAAGATGGCCTGCTAGAAAGAGAAAACAGCGATATTATAAAAAAAAGTTAAATACATCAATGCAAGACGGCAGCCATGATGGCTGTGACGAAAAATGAAGGGCTTTTAGTTATAACAGATTCAATTTAAATTCCATCAATGAATTTGCTATTTGGCCGATCCAATGTCTACACTTGTATATTTTGGACACAAAYTAGAGCGGATTTCGTATGAGTGGGACACCGTTACCGCACGGTTACCGCACAGTTACCGAACCTGGYCTGCACAATTTTGGTGAACCAATGGGGCACTAGAATTTGGTTACAGTACGATTACGGTCACAGTACAGTACCGTCCGTTTCCCACTCATACGAAATCCGCTCTAAAAGCGCTGTATASAGCTTGAATTTTAATTTATCTATTTATTATTATCTATTGCATTCTATTTGAGTTTCATGAGGGTCCTGAAGGGATAATGGATTAGGAATTGGGATTTTTTTGGCTTGGAATTGTGATTGTTCATTGGGATTGGGATTTGTCCATTGGGATTGTGTAAAAAATGGGGCAGTTGGCTATTTTTCGTCCATTCAATATCTYGTTTGATGCTAAAAAATGTTCTAAAATGAGTAATTTGTAACTTGTACCCAGTTTTGGTAGATTAGAAGATAAAATCAAACTATCTAAAACTCAAAAGGACAATATTTGTGGCTTCCTGTAGGAATTAGGCAAACAGCATTATATTTGTATCAAGAACTTTTTAACAAAAACAAGTTCTTTTGATATTTTTACGTTCAATGTATTACAGAAAGGAAACATAGCGCTAACAAAGTCTGACTTGTTGTTGTAAACGACGTACTGGTACCTGACCCTCTGAACAAAGATATCAAGATTAGACATTTAGTACTTTCATTCAAATATTGGCGAGAAACCTTCAGTGAAATTGATTAATCATAATTAGCAATTATGTCTCAACATTCGTAAAGTATCCGCACAATTGAAGATAATCATTGTTCTAGTAGTGAAAGCTGTTTTGAATGATAGTAAAATTTAAAAACTATGGTGTATCGAGAAAGGTAAAGAAAACCAGCACCGCCAAAAATCTCACTCGTGAACTTAGCGGAAAWCAACWAAGTTAAGTTCTTGAAAAACTGGATAAAATACAAAGTCGATTGAATTAAAGTGAGACAAAGATAATGATTTAGTGACCAAATGTACATTGACAGATCTTAACATTGATYTTTTAATCAACGTCACACACACAAAAACTTGTGAAGTCACTGATGTCTACTGACTATAGGGGCGTCGAAAACAAATTTGATTCGTTTTTGATTTCCCCCCAAAGATATCCAAATACCGAAAGAACATGRAATAGTTTCTACTCACAGGAATTAATAGATGATCCTTATCACATTTCAGCAGCTAGAGGTTGTTTGTTTTAGAAACTCTTTGTAAATAAATAACTGCGTTCAATAAAGCGCCTTTCGAATTTTTGGACCGGTTGTTTTGATAGAGAGAGACATTCCATAGGCTGAGAAAACACTTGTTTTGATTTGGTGGCAGATTATCACAAGCAACAGGAAAAGAATGCATGGTCATTTCCTAGACCGTTACCAAACCTACTGGACAAAGGATATCGTTACCGCCGACAAATTACGAAGAGCATTGATTTAAGATTGTTAATGTAGAAACACTCAAACCTAACAGTTTTAGCAAGGTTCAACGAGCGAAAATCAAACCCTACATACGATGGCTGAAAATTTTCATATCCGTAATTTCGAGTAATTATTTATTTATCTATTTTTTCGTTTCRGATGTTCGGGTCCAAACGTACCTGTTTGAGGATCGTTTTCATCCACTGCAAAGAGTGTTTTTGGGATTAATTCAGTTTTTTCAATCTGTAATCCAGGGTCGTGATATGGTATGGGATCCGATCAGGGATCAGTGATATTTTGGGATCAAGGATCACAGCTGCTGGGATGGGGATCATTTGAGATCAGCTRTTAAATGTGTCGGGATCAATCAATGTTTTGAGCAGGCATCAAAGGGTTGAAGTTTGGCCGCAAAAAATGGGAAAATATACCTTGTCACGACCCTGAATAATCGTATCAAAAAACGTAATTAATGTCCAGGTTCCAGGATCTGCCGTAATTGTGGCTGGAGCAACTATTAACCGGGGCCTAATTTTTACCGGCACAAGGCTACTAGCTGATAGTTTGTCTGGCTGATTAATTTGTCGCAACTCAAATTTGAGCACATTGTCCCGTTTCCCATTCACTCTGATTGGCCGAATAAAAATCTTTGAATTCAAACCGAGCCTTGCGCCAAAACTATTTTCTTGAGTAACCGCTGATGTACACGTTAAAATCTCCTCATTCTTTAAGTTAACATGGATAGGAAGGACGTCAAAGTTAATCAGTGAAGGAGAGAAGGGYAACCCGCCTAACTCTAATCAGTGRAGATCTTATCGGTAAATTGAACAAGTGAGTCTAGGGCCTCAAACAAATCTCTCAGATAAGCTGATCTGTGAAATATTGTGTGTATCACCGTATATTGACATGTCATGGGTTTCCTTGACCCATGTGGTATGGTATCTCAGCATCTATGAGACGTCAGGAGTTTCTCATCCATGCGGAATATCTCCCCTCGTCCATGAAGCGTGATCCAAAAACGTCGGTCCATGCAAACTATATAGGCCTTTTGAATGAGACGGTCACATGGTACTATGTCCGCCATACCGGATGGCAAAATACCCACTGGTATGTTCAAAACACAGAAAAGTCAACAAGTTTAACGGGCTGATTTCCTTTTGTTTTTGAGTTGCCATCCAATATGGCGGATTTAGTACCATGTCACCAATTCGATCATYCAAAATTATTATCATCATATGATCCGTATTCAGGCCCTCCAGGCTCCTAAAAAAAATTGGTGAATCGTCCCCTAACCCCCTCATGCCTTACATATGCCACCCAAAAACTGTATCAGGCCCCGGACAAGCTATTTGCCTGAGCTATTAAGAAAATCTTAGTTTGGAAGATAGACGTCCTTGTGATAAATTTTTCTCGCCTCAGTTTGGTCAATCAATACGGAAAAACAGTTGACTCTCGTTTTTTTGTSCGTAAACATCAGCTTGAGACAAATATGGGTTCTCAAACAGCCCTTGCACTCAGTCAGTAAGTACATGCTATTGTTACAAGATGTAGAAATAACTTCACCCTTCTGATAATATGGATTACTTTTAATCATAATTTTTCGCTGTATGTTTGATCGTAATTGATTTAGCATATGATACAAAAATGACCTTTTCCATTTTTCCCTTTTGGTTTTTGCTCATTTGAGGATTGAAAACTTAAAAAGCAGCAGCGAACTCCGGTTGTTGGTCTGGGAACTGATGGTAATCTTTGCCATTCAGATGTTGAAATATCAAAGCATTCRACAGAGTTCAGACTGATACCGTCCCATCCTGCAACYAGRTAGATYTTCTTATTGAAAACTGCAGCACCAGCATTGGATCTTGGAACGAACATAGAAGGCATCGCTGTCCATTGATTAGTCAAAAAGTTGTACATTTCCACAGAACGTAATGTATCGTTGCCATCGTAACCACCCATGACGTACATGCTGTCGTCACATACCACAGCACATGGAAATGACCGTCGGTCTCTCATTGGCTGTACTTCTGTTGAGTTCCATATATCCCTGTCAAAAAAATTCTGTTTTCAGTAAAAGTTTGTTTTCTGGTTGGTTCATAACAATATTGAATTGATGTAAATCCAAGCGGCTTTAAAATCATGATCACGTGTTCGGGTGTGTTGAATGTACAGAGTAGATGGCTGTGTTGTATGCTAAGGAAGTACGTATAGAGATATCTACCAAAATGTKTGTTATTGTGCTAACACCAATCCCCTTGTGGGCTGTTACGCAGGCTAGATTGTGCTATTGAAAAAAATSTTTATCAAATTTTTCATCAATAATAGGTATGGTCAAAGAATACTTTGAGATTAAATGTCGTGTGTGTACTTTTATGTTGTCGGCAACTGCATTTTACCACAAATGCGTGAATTACTGCGCATGCGCGCTGATTATAGTATTTAAATAGGAGGACATACACATTAAGTCTTGCGCGCGCGTTTAGTTGACAGAAAAGAATTTCTTTAAGGTACGGAAATACGAGAAACAAACTCGTCCAACTTGTGTCGCAACATTGCTGCAAAACAAGTTTGAAAGCGATGCTGCGCGCACTACTACCGGCGAACCAACTTGTCTCTTGAAAAACTCTGTTGCAGAAGGTAGAAAATCGTTCTACTTTTTGCAACAAAATCCGTCGATGTTGGGCGTATTACTACAACAACCCAACTTGTCTTGCAGCAAAATGACGTCGCGCGACGATGAGCTGATTACATTGGCAAATCACAAATAAGGATTAGCTCAACCAGTAACAAATTATTTTGTAGCGAGACAAGTTGGTTCGCCAGTAGTAAAACGCGCAACATTTGTGAAATATGTTGATTTGATGATAGTTATTGTACACAAAAAAGAAGCTTTAGGCTATTCATTCTTTGAAGTGTGTACCTTGAAGTATCGTATCTTTCTATCGTATTCAAAATGCTTGAACCATCGTGTCCACCAATTATGAAAATAAATTTTTTGTAAGTTACAGCACACACGCAGCGTCGACGAGTTGGCATGGCTGAACGGCTCTTCCACCTAGAGAGATTACATAATATAGAATTGCAGCCATCATAGGAATCATGTAGCGAAAAACAAAATAAACTAAAGCAACTAAGACGGACATATGACTGTCTTAAACAATATGTTGTTCTCAGCAMTATAGCTCATTGGTTGCATAAGATATACAAATATGGCAACTGGAAAATGGTTGATACAGTTTCATCTGTGCGTGATGCGCTCGAATGTTAAAATGAATAAACAAATGAAAAAATGAATAAACAAATAAAAAGAAGGTATAGTTTTAGAACGTTTCGGTGTAAAACCTGGGTATTTTTTTCTAGCTTGACTGAAGTGTTGTACCTGTTTGTCTGTATGCTAAAGCTTTCCATGGTATTTACTGTTGAAGTGCCATCAAAGCCTCCAACCACATAAATATTACCATCTACCTCCACCATACCGTGCTTGCTTCGTCTCGTGTTCATTGATGGGATGTTATGCCACTGCTTTTCTCGTACGTCATATCTTATAACTACAAGCAATAAATAGAAAATATCAGGCCTAATGATCACAGAATAGACCCTTATCGTTTCTACTTTGCACGTATACCGCTGCAGACAATACCAAATATTACAAGGCCATTCCCTTAGTGATAGAACCGCTCAGAGATCCTTGATAAAACTTACACAGTTTCTTCGATTTCAGGAATCGTAAAAGAAAGTATTCAATGATGTTYATTTTCTTATATTTGTGGTACAACATCCTTACACTCTAGATTTCTGAATAGCAAGAAAAAATTTGTTCAYATAACAAGTCTGGATTTAAGATAATAAAGATATTTCAAACGCAATCTTTTTCTTCATACGCATGCCATTATGGCAAGATGTCACTACAAATTCGTAGATATCTCAAAAACGGCACATACAATCTTTTTCAAGCTCATACATCGTTTTGTTATCCCTGATATGAGTAATATAAAAGAATGAAAATAAGTTGCCACATTCGCTTAAGTGTATAGCACGTCAAATGGTTGAATTTYAGTAATTTCCCTAATGGTAACTCAGTGCGCTCTAGGTCCTCTAGCTACCGTGCACTCTTGCTGGTCTCTAAAATTGTATTCGGTAGAGCTTACGCAATGCAATAATCCCGAATTGTCTTCAGAACTATCAACAACAAGAGACAATCATTCCGACAAACACGATTGCAAAACCTGGAAACAACGATTCCAACCARCAAATTTACCCAACAAGTTTCAAACTCGACGCAACTCCAAATCATAGTTGGTACATCAAGTGTTTTTACCTGTATCTAAGGTCTCGGAGTTGACAGTAGAATAGCCACCAGCTATGTACAATTGTCCTCCTAAACTTGCAACACCATGGTATCCTCGGTCTTTGGGGAGTTTTGGAAGCTCGTTCCATTGGCTTGTGATAACATTAAATGCAAAGGCTGCAATGATTCAATGTMCAAAGGTTTGTAAAATACTATCACAGATTTATTACCAAAACCGAATAACAAACATACATTAATGTCTTTATTTTTGTTTGTCAATTGGAYACTAAACMAAACCTACCATTGTACACAGTTAAATGAGAACGTTTTCCATTTCTTRGTTTTATTTCCAGATTTATATAAATCGTTTGACCTGATCAAGTGCAGTGTACACTGTGGACGTCTGCTTATATTACATGTTTTCATCGATTGTTATTTGTAAGGCATGATATCACGTATTGTTCATTCTAATTCATTCACATATTCTTTAAAAAGAAGATTTTTGCTTTTATATCTGCCCAAAATGAACAGACATTCTTTCCAGAGATTACACTTAAGCCCGCCGCACACGATAGGAAAGTTTTAAAATGAGCGAGTTGCGAGTCGCTTTGATAAGAGTTTTGCTTCCTGAAACAGTAAAAATTGGTGCGATTCCGCTGTTCAAAGCGACTCGCGTGGCATTTCTCTTAACCACTTTCTTATCATGTGCGGCGGGTTTTAGCGCTTTCATGTCCCTCGATTCATTTGCCTAACCAAGAGATTTTAGTATTAATGCCTGGCATCTCCAAGAACTTGCAAGAAGTCAAGTTAGTAATTTACCTGTAGTAAAATTCGTGAAATCTCCATTTCCCCCAATGGCTATAAGCATTTCATGAAATCGTTCGTAATTTCTTGGTTTTGTTCTAGCGTTCCCCAACGATGACCTCCTGTCTGGTAACATATGAAAGTGTTGCGCYTCAAGAAGAAGCTCTCTGCATCTCGGACTTTCCGACATTAGTTCTTCCTTCTCTACAACGTCTACAAGATAGTAGGCCGAAACTAAAGGAAGTCGTATTAGTTCCAGCARTTCAGGAAAATAGACTTTTCTGTTTGGCAAATCATAGTTGATCCAGCGAACTAGCGATTCGTAAACTTTTTCTTCACTTTCAATTGAAATGTCGTCACTTGATAACAAGCAACTAAGGTTTTTTACCGACATGTGCAAAAACTCRTCACTTTCCGATACATGAATAAAATTCATGTGGATGTAGTTGCTTGCAATATGCCATAGRTCATGGCAAGCATAGGTCTCCGAGAATGTCTGAATACCTAAGCAATTTGAAACATTCAGACGGCTTTCTAGAAATCGACAACATGCATCTTTGACGGATTGRACAAGCATGAGGTTTGCTCCTTGTAAGATAAGTTCTACGTTACTCCAGTCTAAGACAATTTCACCAGTATATATAAAATTGAGAATAGATTTCATGCTTTCTCCAGCAACTCCTGCAATAGTTATTATCTCTTGGTTGCTTTCTTTCATATTACCATTGAACATTGCCAAGAAATAATCTGAACTTGCAGAAAGAATATTCCTRTGAGCCAAAAACTGTGCGTCTTCAACTTTGATGATAACGTCGCACATGGCTCCATGCTGCCGTAATTCATTGATTCTGTCCAGCATTAACCGGGAATATTTGTCATCGTAGTAYGTGAACGTATCGTCTAGTTTAAATTCCGTGTCGTCTTCCATACCGGTTGTTTAAGTTTAACGTGTTCTAATAGAGACCACTCTGTCGACCACTCTACACTCATCAAATAGCGAGCGGATGATGACGTCACAAACAGAAATTTGAATAACTTTGACACGAGCTCTGACGTCGATCTAGAGTCAGCGCGTGCCTGGATCTTGCAACCACAGGCAACCCATCTTTCTGTAACCGGAAAWCTTTATGATTGGTATTGCTAGATTGTCGGCAGTCCCGGCGACTCCCATACATCTTAGGGCGAAAAAGATCCTCAAATATTCCTGAGTATTTTACAGCTTGGCAACGGTTAACAGAGTTATACGACGACTAGCGGACWTAATAACCCGATGAAGCAAATGCAAGAGCACATTACTAATGGGAAATGTTAATKCTGTTGGCTTCTTTATTATTATTGACACCGTGCTGGATGAATSAACAAGAAAAATTAGAACGAGAATTTTCACACAATATGTCGGCTGTTTCGTAGTGTACAAACAGAGAATACAATAGGATATGATATCAGACTATAGACTGTTTTACTGCTAGTAGAGAGATAAAGACGAGTTACACTRGAAAGAGGGAGACTGGACACAAGTGAACATAAGAAGCAGCAACTGCTCTTTCCATCTTTCTTCTCTATCCCCTTTTCCGCTTTTCTTTGTTCGTTACCAGTCCTCTCCATTCTTATCTTAAGTCAGGAGTCCCAACAGCAGAGGGAGGGAGGGGGGACTGGGAGCATATTATTCATTTCCCAGAGGTTAGAATTTACCCTTTCTGATAGTTTATTTCGAGTCCGTAAGGCTGAAACGGTATTAAGTTATATTGAAGTAAAATTTTTATCGTGTTTTGTGTGACCTCGATGCTTAGCAAAATTACACTTCTAAGGCCTGGTTCGAAAACTCAATATAATCCGTAAATGTGACTGCAAAGTTCTCATGAATTABGTGCAAGTAATTGGGTAAGGCACGGCAAAAGATTAACGTCTGGAATGGGCTTAACAAATAGTGAAGAAATGTAGGTTCCAAAGTCATTGCTTGGGCTACCTGAGGTGTGTTCCAGCAAAATTGGGCTTCCTGTGTTCAGTAAAGCCTTGAAGAGCAATAGCGCATGCGTCGAGTTGGCTGATGCAACTAAATTTCGCATGTGACATTACGATTGAAGACGAAATATATTACTTTTTGTAAGGGTTTTGTTTCACTAATCTTTCAAAATGGCAGAAGATGAGATGGTAATACAATAGTTTTTCTTTTTTCTTTTCTTTTTGTTAGTCTATGATGTTTATTAGTGGTAACATCGATAAACCGAAGTAGCCATGTCTTATAATGGCGACAGCTTCTTSTTGATCAAACTAACCTTCCCCTTTATTTACAAGATGTTCGATCCTACTATGAAAAAGAAGAAGAAGAAAAAGAAGATGCCTTTAGATTTGGATGGATTTGAGGCAGAYTCTGCCAACCAAGAGGTAGAAAAAACGAACGAACCCGAAGAAATACCAGAGAAAGGTACGATGGTGGGTTAGAAAAGATCCGCGGGTCTAGACAATTTCGTAGTTTTTGTAGTAATCATTCAAACAGTGAAGTTCATTAGAGAACATTAGGGTGGTAAGAGKTGTCCATTCCAGCAGAAACGTTTTTAAGTTTATAATATTTCCCGTTTTGCTTTCTGACATGTAAGCTTATATGTTTAATTTACAGTTGTCAATAATAATGAGCTTAGTTGAGGACTGTTAGACTCGGGAAGAGAGATTTAGTTTTATATCATTGGCAACATAGCTTGACAAAGATAGTTGATAGCAGTTAATTTTAAAAAGAGCTGATCCTCAAATAATGAGTATTGCTGAATAACGCTAGCATTTCTGGTTCACTTCAATAAACATTTGAACTGACTTCTCTTTTGATTTAACGTTTAGTGAAGAATCAAAAACTAATTATGAACACTTTCAACATGGTATAGTTATAGCTTATATGCTGGGATTCACTGTGAAAACATGCTACATGTACAAGTGGATGTTTTCACTTTCACTCTTGAAAACATTATGACGATAGGCTGCGTAAGGCCTTTTATCACAAAAAAAGAAACAACATAAACATGGGAAAAAGTGTCATGATTAACATTTGACACTTATTTACTGGAACCGAGGGAAACAGCATGTTTTGTGGTTCCGAGACCGCTGATGTTTCCCGAAGCGAAGCTGAGGGAAACATCAGCGGTCGAGGGACCGCAAAACATATTGTTTCCCGAGGTTTCCAGTAAATAAGTGCTTTATTATCATATCAAGTGTCAAAGAGAGCAAAAAAA